TATATATATATATATATGTAGAAAGGGAAGCCATGGCTAGGATCTCCCTCCTTGGAAAGAAAACAAAATCAGTCTGATATTTTGGCAGTGTCAAGAACCTCATGATTACAATGTAGGAGTGGTTTCTTTCTCACATGCTCACACCAGTTTTAATCTTCTGTAGTGATACCGTTTTCACAATTATATGCTAGGGAATTGTACTGTGTGACCATAGCCTTCACAGCTGGGTGTCACAAGGTTTTCTGGAATGAAGAAGAGATTTGCTTGGAAAGAGCCTAATTTTGGCCATGTATTCTTGCTTCAATTCCTGAGGGCAGTGTGGTCCCCACAAATAAAGTGCTGGTATGGTGCTGGACACAATGGTTTCCTGTTGTCATCTTGAGACAAGGTGTGTGGGGGTCCACTCCAGGAAGGTGGTATTGACAAGACCTTTCATATGTAAGGAGAGGAAATGTCTTCTGTGGTCCACAGAGAGCCTGCAAGAAAGCATCACTGAGGAAATGGATCTCTGCTTTTGTTAGGCAGTGTTCTGGGAGGGGTACTCTGTTGTTAGGCTGTGTGCAAAGTACCACCTGTCCTGCATAGGTAAATGTTCTCTGCATTTACAGCATCCAGCACACGTCATTCCTGGAATCACAGGCATCGCCCATCCTTTGACATCGGCTGACTGGTAGTAGTGCTGTCCCATGACATATGAAGTGGGGAAGTCATACCTGGCTGTGTGTCTTTTGGAGGTGGTAGCTCTTCTCTGACCTGTTGTACTGTCTGGGAACCTCCATCATGCTGAGGTACCTGGGATGCACTTGGCTAGACTCATCTTTTCAGGGACTGCTGATGGAGATAGGATGCCAATCCTGCATTAAAATTTGCTTTTTCTCCAAGGGTGTTTTTTGGGAAGGCCTTATCTCCTGCAGAAGCACTGTAATGAAGTGACCAAATTAACTTGGAGTTGCTGGTGCTGAACTCTTCTGAAGAACCTGTCCTTAATTTCCTAAATGATCTGAATTCTTGATTAGGATTCCTGGGATATGCAGTTTCCTATAGAAGCTGCAAAGTAGGGTTTATCTCATGTTGCCATCAGTTCCCTGCACTTTAATTACTGGGTGTTTTTGCCACTGTCTTTCTGCCTCCTCTCGCTCTCCCTCTCTTTTTTTTTTTTTAATTCCCTTTGAAAGCCCTCCAAAGCAAATACTCAATTTAGAGAGAATTATTGGCATCTTACTTTATCCATTCCAAACATTTCAGGTATTTAGCAGAGAGAATGAGCATCAGGTGGCTAACTTCTCCCTGCACAGCCTCAGCCCCCCTTTACAGAGAGGAACTCACACTAATTGGACTGCTGTGTGCATCCTAATTGCTCTCATCAACAGTCTCTGTACTTCATCCATTTCATGGTTTTTTGGCAAGAAATTCCCACCTTTGAGGGAAACCTGATGAAGTTGGGGAGATGAGGGCGTGTGACCAGCATGCCAAGATGGCCCCAGGAGGACCAGCATTGACTGCTGTAAAACCCTGCAGCAGTGAGCAGAGGAGGGAGAGGAGAGGAGCAAAGTGCCTTTGCTTCGCTGAATAAGACAGAGCTCTGGCTCCTTGTTTCTTCCCCAAAATAAAGTTTTTTCTCTTAATAATACTTCTGTTGGAAATAGTATTTTTGGGCCATTTCTTATCTGTATGAAATAGAAGATCTGTTACAGAAGGCCCCTTTCAGCTGCCAGGAGACAACAGAATCTAATCTGGCGGTATAAAAGTTGGAGAATGCAGGATTAAATTGTTAATCCTTGTCTTAAACAGTTGTTTCTGAAAGCATACTTTCCTTTCACTCTCAGAGGAGCCACTGATCCATGGGGAACTGTAGGTGGCTGTCAGGAACACCTGGCTTGTCTTCACTCTTCTCCATTCTTGCTGAGAACCTTCTTGCCATGATAACCTTTGTTTCCTTCAGCTTGGAGTTTTTTGGGTGTTGTCATTTGTCCTGTTCAAGAGCAATAATACTTAAGGGATGCCTGTGCAGAACTGAGAATTGGACTAGGTTATGATGGTGTGTGTATTGCTTTGTGTCCCTTGAATTACAGAGATTCCTGACACCTTCCTGCCCTGTTGAAATGCAAATATATTTTCTTTTTGTATTTCAGGAGCTTACCTCAGTGCATATAAAAAGAAAAATCTATAATCTATATATTTTTTCTCAAGTCAAACCCAGATACTGAGTTGAAGAAAGCCTTATAATAGCAAAAACCTAATACCAGCTGTCTCTGAGCAGGGAGAGCAGAACTTCAAATAAGACTTAAAACATAAAATTTTTGGAGGTGATCCAAGAATTAGGATTGCTCTGCATAGTCCAGGCGTGGTACAAGGGGTTGCTTATCTTACT